GTAGAGTTCTAAATAACTAAATAAAATGGAGACAAGCAGTCTCCATTTTATTTAGTTATTTTTCTGGTTTTGCTCTGTTGTTTCATTTGGGCCATGTTTGTCTCCTCATTTGGGCAGCCTCCCTATGTTTGTTTCTATGTATTAAGTAGAGCTGCTATGTCTCCCAGGCTTGGTAGTGTGGCCTAATTTAGTAGGTGTTCTGTAGGGTGAGTGGCACAGCCTCCCTGATGACCCCAGCTGAGCATTTGAGGTGCACCCCCCCCAATGTGAGCTTTACTCTCCTATTGTAGTTGAGGCTTGATTGATGTTGGCTCATCAATGGGAGGGATTTACCCAGGCTTATCAGCTGCAAGGACTGACTATGACCACTGACCTCAACCACAGTGAAAGATCAACTGTGCAGGGGACCACTACACGGAGTAGGACTTACTTCAGCAGGGCTCTGATATCCACTGAGTTCAACCCTTGAGTATATTGCTTGTGGAGGTGTTTGGGTGGTGGTGCTTCAACATGATCTGAAGTTCTCCACTGGGTGTGCTGGCTCTGTGGCCTCCTGGGAGGTGCAGGTCAAGGTCAACCACCACCTGTGTTCTGCCCAGGGCCACCTGGCATGAGGTACAAAGTGTTCTGCAGATGGCTGCTTCTTGTGCTGGGCTTGGAGGTGGCAAGCTGTGAACCAAGGCTGGCTCTGCTAGTGCCAGGCCTGGGGCCACTTAGTGAGACATACAGGGTTCCCTGAGGCCAGATGCTGCTTGTTTCTGAGATCTTAGGAAAATCAGAAGCATGAACCAACACAGGCATTTGTATGGAAAAGCCACTGGAAACAGCTTGGATGGGCCTAAAAGTTGGGTGAGGTGGGGCCTCAGGGAATCACCAGAGTGGGGCCAACAGCATAGCCTGGTTGTTGGAGTCTCAGGGTTGATGGAGTCTCAATAGGGGACCCATCTGCTGGCTTTGTGGGGGAGGGGATCATCAAAGGAATAATGGTTTTTGCTAGCACTTCTGTCTGAGAGAAAGCAGCCCCTCCAGCTCTGGCCTTGATGCCAAACAATTAAGTTCCTCCCTGTATGTCTCTGGTGCCTTTCAAGCTGCTGCCCCTCCACTGTAACTCACCTAATTTGCAACAAATTATCCAGAAAGATCAGAACTCAGGTGTTATTTATAAATGAGAAATATTAATGTGTATAGAGCAGCAATTTTCAACCTTTTTCATCTCATGGCACACATAAACTAAAATTCTGTGGCACACTAAAAAAATATATTTTTTGCTAATCTGACAAAAAATAGGTATAATTTAAAAAATAAATAAATAAAATATGATCATAAAAAAAGGTATAATTTCGAATGATTTAAAAAAAATTGATGATAATAGTAATTACCTACCTTTTTTGCTCCCAAGTGACTTTTTAAAAAATCAGGTCCTACCCTGGCTGATTTGGCTCAGTGGTAAGAGCATCAGCTCTCAGACCACAAGGCTGCAGTTTGATTCCCGGTCAAGGGCATATGCATTGGTTTCAGGTTCAATCCTGGCCTCAGTCAGGGCTCTGTGGGAGCCGATCCATGTTTCTCTCTGTCTCTTTCATTCCCTTCCTCCCACTCTCTAGAAATCAATGGAAAAAATATCCTCAGGTGAAGATTAAAAAAAAAAAAATCAGGTGACCAGCCCAGCTGGTTTGGCTCAGTGGTTGAGTATCAACCCATGAACCAAGAGGTCACCAGTTCGATTCCAGGTCAGAGCACATGCCTGGGTTGTGGGGTTGATCC